TATTCTGTACAAGGAAGTCATATGGTGTACACATCAGATTTTTTTTTATTGTAAATAAGTATTTTAGATGAAAATGTTAATTGGAGGGATGGGTTTAAAGTATGCCTTTTATGCTAGGTAATTTTGGGGTAAATTATTATCGCATGGTTGAAAATGAAAAATATTGGAAAAAAAATTAGTAATTGTAATAAACTTTTAATATTTTTAATTAAAGTTACTATTAATATCTTTTGGGAGATATAACAATGCTAATCACTCTTTCTGTATGATTCATTAATCACTCCCCACTGTTATTAGATCGGATATAATGAATCATATTTTCGGTACCTTGAAGTACATTACAGCAAGGTTTGACTGTATATATATATATATATATAAAGAATTTGAATAAATTATAAAATTCACTAATTTTAAAAGTTTTTCTATATATTTGTGTGTGTATATTAATATTGATAACTGCATTATATTAAAAAAATTCGTATATATATATATGCACTATATCTTTCGGAATTTTGAAACGAATTCTTTTTATTTAGATATTCCCTTTATCACCCCAACGTAGTTGCTAGTGTTTTATATATATATATGCATCTCATATCATCTAAATAGTGAAATTAATTTCTGTCTCTGAAAAATCCTTTCTCAAACATACAGATTTCATTTAAATGATATAGCAGCATAAAAGTTTGGAAACTCTGAAAGATAAAAGCCTGAATCTATTTAACATTTATAAAAATGAATTATTTTTAAGGATCATTGATATCAATGGGATAGTAGTACTACCAGAGAAGAAATCTTGAAAATGAAAAGCAGGCCTATAAAATATCTTATTTATGTATTTCCTTATCTACTACGAAAGCTGATAGATATCTCACCAAACTTACATTAACCAGTTCATGATAATTTGAAGGAACAGATAGCTCTTTAATTAAATATATAATTATAGATTGATCATACTTTAATTAGATAATCAACAGATACAAATTAAAAATACAGCATATAAAAAAAATTAAATATGAACTCAAACTTTAATATTATCTTACACAGTCATCAAAACTAGCATCAGTCATTACGGGATAAAAATTTCCCATCTGCTTTATGAGCTTACAAATTCATTTAAATCAAATCATGGCATTCCAAGTTTTCATAGTGTCTCCACTTTTTAATTCTTTTTATTTCAAATACAGAATGTGCCTAATACAAGGAATCTGCCTGTTTGTGTTTATTTTTCAAACAATTAGCTATGATTAATGTTCTACTACTTCAGTTTTATCGTATGAGAAAAGAATAAAGAAATTTACTTTTTTTTTAAAATCAAGATTACCTTCATTTAAAAATTCTTCAATGAAAAAAAAATTTATTAGATTCAACAACACAAGTATAATATGTGTATGCACATATGTGTGATGCATTCATACATAATAATATTCAACAACGAGGGATGTGCTAACAGATACCAATAATTATATCATACTGCTTGTGACATTATGTAGGACACATAATCCATAAAGTTTTTTATAAGTCATTAATAGTACTTCTCTATCAAAAAATTTATTTCTGATTACAGACTATTTTAAGAGATTGCAATAAAACAAAATTTAGAATATTATTTTAGAGCACATATGATGGGAGAATTTGGGGAAATCATTTAGAGGCTTCTTCACAAAATTAAATATTGTTTTCTTGTTATGTATCTATTATGAAGACATTTTAATTATTATAACTAGAATGTCAGTTGGTAATTATTTCCTCACCATGCATATGACATTCTCCAAAATATCCTTATTTCATAGAATTCATGAATTGAGACAGACACTTCAAAGAATTATTAAAGTTTTTCTGATCATTACAGATTAAAGGATACCCAACAATAATATTGATGGTTAAAGAAATTTTCTTCAAAACTAAATGGAAAATACCTTATATTTTTATTAGAATCTTCAATAAAATTCAAAGTATTGAAATATTAATTTAAATTTAGTCTCTGTTATGATGCAAAATGTTAATATGCTTGGTACTAACAGATAATAAAATTATAGAAAAGTCTTAAATAAGCTGATGCCAAGAGATGCTGAATAAAATTTGGAATATTTGAGAAAAATTTACCATGCAAAATTATATTTCAGAATCCACATCACAGTCAAATATTGGGTTGTTCGGAAAGTAATTTAATTTTTCTTACTGTCAAAGGGTTTAGATGTATTTTTAACCAGCTAATTTCATTCTTGTATTGTTGTTATATATTTTGGCAGCCGACATTTCAAGGCTCTTTGTAAAAAATTGTGTTTGATATTGTGCTGATGTTTTTAGTGTAGTCTCAATAAATATGGAAAATCAAAAATAGCATTTTTGGCTTACTTTGCTTTATTACCAAAAAAAGATAAGAATGCTGTTCAAGCCAGGGGGGGAACTATCATGTGTATAGGGTAAATGGTTTGCAAAATTTTATTCTGGCAGTTTTGATACTGAAGATGCACCAGATTCTGGATGACCAGTTGAAGTTGATGAAGACAAAATACACACAATGATTGGAGTAAACTGCTGAATAATGGCATGACAAGTTGCACTTGTGAAACTCAACCATTTATAATCATATTTCAAAGTTTGATGTATGGTTTCAGAATTTCTTAAAGGAAAAACCATTGCTACCTTAAATGGTATTCCTTCCATCGTATGTATTTGTTTCAGCGCATAGCCATCTGTGAGTGTCTTCTCGGATGTCAAGAAAATGATCCATTTTTAGAGTAAATCATAACAGGTGATAAGAAATGAATTGTTTACAACAATGCCATATGCAAGCAATCATGGAGCAGAGCAGATGAGCTGACTCAGAGCACTTCAAAAGCCAATTATTCACAAAAAAAAAGTTATACTTTCCATTACAGTTTCTACTAAACAATTTTGCGATTGATATAAAAGTGTGTTGCCATTAAACTGGACAAATTGAATAATATCATCAAACACAAAAAGACTAGAAATGACTAACAGAAAAGGTGTAGTAGCTAACCATAATAATGGCAGATCTCATGCAAGTTTTGTAACTTGTCAGAAGCTTAGAAAAGATGTGCTACGATACCCACCATGGTTGCACTATCTGATACCCTTGGATTATTACTTATTCTGGTCTTTACAAAATTATTTAATTGGTAAAACATTTATTTCAAATAAGGATGCTAAAAATTATTTAATTGGTAAAACATTTTATTCAAATGAGGATGCTAAAAATTATTTGGATCAGTTTTTCGTAAACAAAGATCAAAACTTTTATGAGCATGGAATCATGCTACTAACAGAGAGACAGCAAAACATATTGGACCAGAGAGGTTAATACATAATTCAATAAAATATTTATATATTATAAAAAAAAATTTTTCAACAAACCAAACAATATTCAATAAGCAAACTGAAAACAGAATTTATGCTACCTGTTCCTACCTAAAGTCATTATTCTTGAAGGATAAAGACAATAATTATACAAAAATGATCGGTTAGAGTTGACTTTAGGGTACCCCTTGTATTATCGCAAAGTTGTTGTTTCATTTATCGCCAAGTTGTTGTTGCGTTTATTGCCTAGTTGTTGTTTCATTTATGCTAACCTGAGTAGTTGAATGTTATGGAAACCCTATTATGATGTAATTGTTTGCATTATTCCGGAAATTTTGAATCATGGAATGTTTTGTAAGGGCTTTTGTGGTGTGTGTGTGTGTGTGGTTAGGAAATACATTGCTTGTTTCATTGTTCATACGGTAGAATGGCTGAATGTAGTAAGATTAATTTGAAGTTCTGTTTGATTTGGAATGAAAGAGGGAAAGTGCATTAATTGACTGGTGTGTAAATGAAGGTTTGGTTAATCTTTGGATTATGATTGTTTGGCGACCAACCCTGCTACAGCAACCTGCTAGTTTTCTTTTTGGACGCCATTTTGTTTTCACGAAAGTAAAGGCATTTTTTTTTCACTCAACAATTTTTTTCCCAACAATCTGCTAGCCGAATTACGCTTATGCTAGAACTTTTATGAAAGAAAAGTGCTTAATCATGACAAAGATTAGGTGTGAAATTGGGAGAAAGTGCAGAATCGCCCACTGCTTGCCGCGCTTTTAAGAATTGCACATACACGGTATCCATGTTCACGTCGATCTATTTTCACTTAAAAAAACATCCCAGAATTGCACAAAAATGGCATTGTGCACACTCTTGACTTTATCCATGTACACTGCTAAAGTCCTAGCTAGTAACCTTTATCGCCTTACCAAAATGTCGCCAAACTACCTGTTACCATATTACAAAGATTAGCCGAAGGTTTACTTAGTAGCCATTTTCAGGACAGTCCAGAATATGTAGGATATTTTTTACTCTTATTTTTGTAAATTTATGTGGCGATGCCAATATACAGATTCTAGTTCAGATCATTTTAGGAAGTTTTTTGGGTGCTGTTAAGGAATTCTTTTTGCCACAGAGGTAAGTGGATATTTGCTTTGCAGAATGCTTAAATGGATATTCCTTTTTTATCGAAATATGGTTTGGTTTAAAATGTAGTTTATTGAGATTATATATTTTTTGCTTGCCTCTTCTGTAGAATTGGGTGCTAATTTGACTTTTTAAGTGAAAATATATCGATGTGTACATGGACAAATTCTAGGAAGTGCACAAAGCCTAGTTTGTGCAATTCTCTGATGTTTTTTATAAGTGAAATAGTGAAAATAGGTCGATGTGTACATGGATACCGAGCTTGTGCAATTCTTTGTCTTGTTATTCTACCTTTATGTAGTGGCGATTTTTGAATGCAAGCCAAAATAACAAGTCAAAGACTTGCACAAATTCGGTATCCATGTGCCGCCAAAAATTGCCAAGGGGTACCCTAAAACTTCCTTTTACCAAATGATCTTTAAAATAAGAGGTAAAATTGCTAATAATTTATATACAGTAGGCAACAATAAAAATTGTTCTAATTATAATTGTTCTAAAACCTGAGTATGCAAATAGATGAATAATTTCACTAATTCATGTTAAATAAAATTTTATGATATATAAACAAATTTAAGCTATACAGAAAAGGCATAAAAACAGGGAAGGAAGGCAGAATTGAAACTCTAAAACAACTGTCGCAAGAAACTGAAAAAAAAAAGTTGAAAACAAATACTCATATTATTACACTTGCCTTTTATTTACATACATTCGTGCAGAGGTAATTAAGCAACAAAAAATGTGAATCGGAATCTTTTGAAATATATTTGCTGAAAATTTAAGAATTTTGCAATAAATACACCACTGCACAAATAATTTTTAAAATTTTGCAATAAATGTAGAACTATATGAATAATTTTATCACATCATGCAATATAAAACTTCATGACACTGAAAGAAAAACTATCCATATAAAGTAATCACCATAATTAGTCAAACTTTTAACCTATTACTTTAAAAACTATCAAAAATTTCATTTATAAATATTAAAAAGTTTTCATTTTTACATTAACATAAAGAAAAAATGATGAAAACGCAACAAATCTCAGCTTTTGCAATTATAACTATTGAAACATGAGCAAAGAATCCTAAAAAATTTTGCAATAAATAAATCTATATTATATTTTCTTACAAAAGTACAAAATAATATCTGAATGTTCACTACTAAAAGCATATCAACTCAATTCGAATCCTGCTCCTGATTCAACAGCGTAAGTCAATTTCATCTTTAATATTTCTTCAGATTCAAACTCGGGTAATTTTAAAAGATTCATACAAGTGGATGCTGTGGGCAGGCGGTCTTCTCTTCCAGCATTTTGGATACAAAATGCTGGTGATAATTCTTTAAATCCAAGAAGAGGTGCACGTGAGCAACTGGTGACAAATTTTAACAAATGCCGTCGTTGCCGTTCGTCAAAAGCTTCCACTACTCTCCAAAAGGCACAAATTACAGGATGGTCAGCAGAATAACCACCTGCATATGAAGTATGAGCTTTTAAATCTTCAATATCAATGGGAGTTTGAGCCCCTGATATTAAAATTTGAAGTTCATTAGGATCAAACATATACAACCATTCCATGTCAATAACATTAGCAAGACCCTCTTTAAATGCTTGACACTGAGCTTTGATTTGCCGATTCAATTTAAAATCTGCCATTAAATGAATGTAATTTATTCTGTTACTTTCGGTAACAGGTATATTTGTACCACCTGGCTTTAATTCTACAACTTCGTTTTCACCAAACTCACTATTCATCACCGTAAAATCCAATCCCAAATCTGCTACATCTCCATCATATGTCTTTAGGTATAACAAATTCCGATACATGACAGGATCTAGTGATGCCAAATGATGTATATCTACATCAGATGTCTGCCTGGACAAAATTTTTGCCAAGAAAAATGCAGCAAGAGGAAGTTCAACCAACATATTTTCATATATCGCTTTGCCTAACATACGTCCAATAAAGAAATAGTGTCTCGCAAAATCCGGCATCACACGCTGAACATTAGGATTGGGATACAACAGACAATCATGGGTAGTCTTGAAGAAACCACGGTTTGGATCGAAGCAAGTTTTCAGCAGCTCATGTAAAAATTCTCTGAATATTCCACCCCCATCTATTCCGACTTCATCCAATCCAACAGCATTCACCAACTGTACTAATATACGCATTTTAATATTTGGTTCACTCTGAAAAGACAAAGAAGTAAATGCATCTTCATATATAAAATTTCTCCTTATTGTTATTCTAATCTGTGGTCCCATTTGAAAACTTAGTAAATCACCTTGATTTTCATTCTTATCTTTTAATATTAGTGACTGAAAGATTTTGAATCTATCGTGAAAACGAATTGCAAAGGGAAATTCTCGTAAAATAGCAAGTTGACGAGCTTCCACTGCTGATGGCGGAGGGCCTTCTTCTTCAAGCTGTTCTCTTGTTAAATTCTGCAGCCCCACAAAAGGTTCATAGCCATGTCCCCTTCTATTAGTAAAATACATTTCGGCAGCTCTTTCAAAGAAAACTGGAAATTGCTTGGCAATCCACGTACCTTCAGGGCAAAATTTACGTCTGCAATCACGTGAATACAACTGACGCAAAAGTGTAACAACAACTTTGAACAGCTGATTCCACTGTCTCACTTCAAATACATTCACATTCTTATCTAAGTTTTTTGAACCAACACTTTTCATAGCTTTTACATAATCTCGATTAAAGGCAGACTTTTTGTCAGGATATGCTAATTCAATAAGACCCATGCAGACATCTTTCAGGGTAGCACTTATGGATGCCAGTTCTGCAAGTGAAAACGGCATCATTTTGATATTGCTACTACCTTCAGTATTTTGTTCATAAAATTCAAAATCGTGCAATGTTGATAATAAATGATTTAATAGTGCACAAAAGACAATAAGCTGCGGTAGAAACATCTCTTGGTCACTAGAATTGAATGACATACCCTGATTTATAATTTGCAATAAAGGTGTTGTAGTCCCAAACGAAGAAGGAACACTTGCACTTACTATAGATTTCCACAACATTCTGAAAAAAGGTGGTTTAAATGCAAGAGTATATAACAAGCGATAATTGTGTATAGCTAATTTCTGCTGATTTAAGAGTAAGTTACATAAACAACATACAGAGACAACACACTGGTTAAAAGCTTTTTCATTTTCTAATAGTCCTACAATCATATTTACATGGTCTATTTCATTTACCATGTTAATAATTTCTTCATGAGTCTGAAGTTTATTTTCTTCATTTTCAACAATCATTTCCCCGTCATCTGATCCATATTCACTGTCTATCGATTGTTCTTTCCAAATAGGAACAGACTGCAACAGAAACTGAAGACAAATCAGATATTCAGCACATTGCTGTTCCGTAAGAAAACGTGCCTGTTTGGATATTATATAAATAAACGTATATAACAAACTCGATGTTGTTCGGAAATTAAAAGCCAAGTTATCTGGGTAAATTGCTGTTAGAATTGCATCTACTGTAATCACATTTGGTTGAGATGCAAGAGCTGGTAAAAGAAAGCAACTTATTTGAGGTGATAAATCTTCAGTAAAAACATCTTGGAGCAATGTCTGTAAGAAATGAGGTTTCTTTTCACTTTTTAATGTAAGCGCTCGAGAGAAAAGATCCTGCAAGGAAGCAGCTAAGGGTGTCGGAGGTCGAGTTGAAATCAATAGCGAATCAGGAACACGGTTATCCAATACCAAACGTAATATTGCATAATAACCTCTCTTAATAAGAAAATCCCAAATCTTTTCTAACACTCTTAATGAAAAATTTATGTCTCCATCATTTTTATTAGCTTCAGCTGGTATTGCACATTTTTCTTGCAAACTATCGTACAATTTATATGATGTGAACACTTCAACAAACCTCAAAGACAAAGAAATATTAGAATTTGGAGTGACACAATTTTTTAAGTATTTCACATTAAGCCAAAGCAGTTTTTGAAATTTGTAAAGCCAACAGTCAGGCCTCATGAAAAATAATCTAGTGACACTCACAGAATCTTTAAGAAACATTTGAGTTACATACGTTAGTCGAGAGCTATCTTGATTTTCATCATAAAAATATAACAGTCTTCCAACTTGGTCATAGAAAACATCTGAATTTAAAGAATTTGCATCACTGTTTTTAACTAATTGATCAAACTCAAGCCTTAGTTTTCTTTTTTCTTCTTGCCTCGTAAGACATCCTCTTACGAAAGCTTGAATAATGGTAGCAGACTGAATAATTCGTCTTTTTTCTTCTCTCTGCAGCCTCTCTATTTGTGCTTTATGGAGCAATTCCTCCCGAGCAACTTTTCGACTAGCACCTCCTAATGACTGCTGAGGTCGTCTCCTGAACTCTCCTTCAAAACTATACATGATTAATAACTAGTGAACATAACTTTTTTTATAATACAGCTAAGTTTTTCGGTTACTTCTAATTGATAAAATAAAGGACAATTTTCTGTGTTTAATAAAAAACACCGTACAAGATGACATGAATAAGAAAAAATTTTCATTTTTTAAAGCACCCAGAAAACAAATTTACATTATAGTCACCAAGATTTCAACATATTTAGTTAATTCTCATACAAGTTGTTTGCAAGCACATTCAGCTGTTGCGAAGAATCGCATCCTTAATTCCTAATAACGATTAGTTGATGCCATTCCTCTCACACTAAAAACGCAATTGCCTAAAAAAATAAAAAATTCAGTATTAAAAATAAAAACTTATTCAATAATAAACAATAATGAGACTTCTAATTTAAAATACAGTTGTTGGCAAACTATTCAAAATTTAAAAATTTATCTCGAGAAACTAACTGGAATTTACAGTTCGGATGAGGCAAATAACAAATAAAAGATCACTGACGACTTTGACAATACCCTCTTGTCAAGTGATTATTATCAGTGAGCTCAGTAATATGCTATATTCATGGTGCTCCTTTATGATTTTGAATATTTTATTATGTATTAATACAGGTGCTAAAGCAAAGATTTTGATACGGTTTGTGACAAGATGTCTATGCTTTCTTCAACAATTCAAACGAAAGAAAGGTACAGAAAAATTATCAAATTTCATGTTAAAATGTGCGAACTGAGAATGCTTCTGTTTTGGCTGGATGCCAGTAATAAATTTTTCACTTATTGCTTATGTGTTTTTAAATGTTACCAATCTTACGATAATGCTCGACGACAGACAGACAGACAAAGTAGACAGATATCTTGTTTTGCACCCGCTAAGTCTTTCTGCGCCGATGGGCGAAAAATCAAGCATAGGTGCGAAGGAAAGGTATATAGAAAGGGGGGCAATTTCGTATCTGAGGAGAGTAAAAAGGGAACTTCGTACATCTTGCACGAGTTCAAAAGGCCAGGAAGAAAAGATGGGACAAAATAAAATTTAAAATAAATGGCCCAAAAATAATAGAGAGGGAAAAAAAAAGGGCCTATAGAAAGAAAAGGAAAAGAAGTAGAAAATATCCTAAAATACGACTGTGTCCATGAGTATAGTTAAAAGGAGGAAAATTTGTCTTCATTTACAATAAATAGTGTCTCACAAGTGTGTGTGTGTGGTGAGTGTGTTTGGTAATGATGAATAGATGTGTTAAATGATGAATAGATGTTAGAGGGAGAAAAAAATATTGACGGTGTAAAATTGCTTCGTATCAAGGTATTTAGCATGGAATACAAAGTGATATGTATGCTTGCATCCAGAGATATCAGCAAAAGTCATCATACAAAGTATATATAAATTTAACTAAAGTAACTTATGCTATTTTCGTTCCCAACATTTTCATACATTTTTCAAAAAACAGCAGCAGACAAACAAGATAGAACCATATACAATACAAGACCACAACCGCACACACACACACAAAAAAAAGATATATATATATCTTTTTTTTATATTAGTATATATATATATATGTGTGTGTGTATGTAAATTACTGAGTATATGTATTAAAAACACAAATTAAACATAGTATTTATTAATTTATCTATCATAATTTATTACAAGATTTATTATTTTAGTATCATAATTTATTACTACTTAATTAATGCTAGAGACACAATGAGGCACACTGTTATTTATATAAGCTTATAGTTCTAAGAATTTATTTAAGGCAGTGACGAATAATCCATCCGTTACATATGGGCATTTAACAGATAGCAAGGAACAGTATGAGAAAAAATCGGTGAGGTATAATATTATTTAAAGGCAAAAAATATTTAAACGATCTAAAAAAAAAAAAAAAAAAAAAAAGAATCCAGAGGATCCGAGAGGGAAATAGCGCGATGCCGTGAGTCCCCTATTTTCCCTCTCACGAGATTCCTCAAAGCAAGATAAGGGGGCTTTGTAAAGTGACGACAGACGTGAACTGATAACGTTGGCGTCTGTTCGGAATTGTTTAACAAAGGAAGCCACAAGTAATGAGCAATTTCAAGTATTTTTTAATGCTAAAAACTGATGAAAAGTTAAAATTTATTGATTTAAAGGCACATATTTATAGAAATTTGATTTAATTTAGATGAAAGAAGGGTACTTATCTTAAAATTCCAGCCTTTCGTAGTACTTCCTCACATTGTCCGCTGTTTCATTCTCATCAACATCGCAACTGAAAACCTTTTGAAAACGTGTAGGTATTGTAGAAAAATCACTATTTCAAAAAACATTTAATTGATAATAAAAGAGGAAAGGAATTTTTTTTCACTTTTTTACGGAGCGCTGCGAACGTCCAGCCGCTTGCCTCGGTCAATGCTCGACGAAGACGGCGCTCAGATCGCAGATACGAAAGGATGGGTAAGATCCACAAGCGTCTAGCCCCTCAGACGCTAGTTTCCTCCTGGTTCCTCCCTGAACATCTGCGCAGATTATTGCGCATGTCGTCATTTCCTCGTATTTACTATTATTTACTTTGCTCTTTGCCCTGCTGTGGTAGCAAAGATTATGTATTGTAGCGTGTGATTGCGGATACAGTTCTCTTTTTTATTTTGCTTCGATTATTATATTTTCTGCATAAAATCAAGAAAAAACTGCCCCTTTCAGCGCCAAGTACTTCCGTTTCTTCAGAAGGTATTTTTGATTCTAAATCGAATCAAAATTAGGAAGGAGTAATCGTGAGCGATAATTCAGTATGATAAATCTGGTTGTGTTTTGAGTGATATGGTTCGTTGTGCAAATGATTTTAGTATAGCTCAGAGTGATTTTGTTTGCCGTGATTGTTTAAAACTTTCAACTATAGATACAATTTGAAACGCGATGCGTATAAATTTCATTACAATAATACTGTTACGAATTTGGTATTTAAAAAGCTAATATTAGTTCAATTATAAATTAATTGGTTTTATTTCTCGCGCAGTGCAGCGCGTGACGAATATTAAAAGAAAGCTAAGCCGGAAAATTGAAAATACAAGAGCGCGTGCATTAAATAAATAAATATCTCTTTTTGATTTCGAGAAAGTACTGGAAAATTCTAGCGCGTGATTTTAAAATCTTATAAAAGGAGGAAAACATCTCAGTTTGGAGTAGTTGCTTAGTTTGTTGTTATTTAGAAAACTGCTCTTGTTGATTGTAGCGAATTCGCGGATTAGCGTTCTTTAGCTGTTTTGAATTACGTTCTATTGGACATTTGAGTAGTTAAAAGATAACTACTGTGAGATATTGTAATACTGCATGATAATTTGAGAAAATGTAAGCATTTTTGTTGTGATAATAATAAATTTTTGTTCATTTTTCATCGGACTTGTGCATTCATTTCATAACGAACCCGTACGCACGCAACAATTTTTGGTGTCAGAAGTGGGATTTGAATGCCAATAACAAGAGCGATGGAAGAGCAATTAAGGCAGTTAAATATCAGCCTTTGCCTCATTTAAAGAAGAAGAATGAAATTGGGCCAGGAATCCGTTAAGGACGAAATGAAAGCCGTTCAAGCTGGTCAAGAAAAGATTGAAGCATGTCAAGAAGAAATGAAAAGAGAAATTACCTGCATAATAGAAAATAAATTTGAAGCTATGGAAGGCAGAATTGACACAGTTGAAAATAAAGTTGGACAAATTGAAGAAAAAGTTTCTTTCGTAAAAGATCAAATTGAAGAAAGAGTTTCTTCGGTGAAAGAAGAAAGAGAAATAGAAAAAAAAGTTTCTTCTGTAAAAGAACATATAGAAGGGAGAGTTTCGGCTGTGGAGGAACGAATTGAAGGAAGAGTTTGTGCCGTCCAACACCAAGTCGAACAACAAATTGATGAGAGAGTTTCTGCAGTTGCCAAAGAAATGGATAATTTAAAGAAATTCGTAGCGACGGCAGGGAGCAAGAATGATGATTTTAAATTCTTACCGATGCCTGTTCGTCCATTTCTGAAGCTATCCACATATGATGGGAAGACATCCTGGCAAGTATACAAGATCCAGTTTTCTATCGTTGCGGATGCGAATGGATGGGATTCCCAAGCTAGATGGGCCTGTCAGATGGATGCCGCTTCTTTAAGAGCCGACGCAGCGGATATCCTTGCAGACGCTTCCCGAAAATCAAAAGGCTAGATTTCGAAGCTCTGTATCAGGCGCCTTGGAGCTGCGCTTTGGGCGAGAATGTTTTTAAAAGACTACAGCAGGCTCCAACTTAAAATTTCGTCAACAGAAGCTCACCGAAACGCTTCAGGAGCTCGCCACGGATGTTGAAAGGCTGTCACATCACGCCTTTTCGGAGTGCCCGACAGAAACAAGGGAAATCCTTTCCCTGCAATATTTCATCGATGGCATCCGGGACCCTGAAATACAGAAAGCACTGCGAATGGCAGATGTAAAGGATGTAAAAAGCGCTCTGTTGTACGCCGTGAAATTGGAGGCAGCCCAGCAGGCAACTCTTAGAGATCGCTACCCAGTCAGAGTAAGGCTCCTCTAAACCTAAAAAACTCCTCTAAATCACCAACTTTTCTCTCTTGGCGAGGGAGGGAACGCGCTACCAATTTTGGCGCGTTTATCGCACACGCTGGCTGAATGTCTGCTGTTTTTTTTTTAAAGATTTATTTTATAGACGCGCGGCATTCAGCGCACATAAACTTTTCGGATAATTAATTAATTCTCGAATAGTATATAGACGTTTTCACTTAAATAAAAATTTCGCGTATATTTTGTAAACATATTCAAAATAACTTATTCTTTAGATGTTTCAGTTTCGTTAGCAGACTATAATAAATAAGATATGAATAAAAACTTTCAATAGTGTCAAATGGGGAAATAGTTAAAGTGTAGAGTGTGCAAATAAATTTATCTTAATGACATTTTAACAAAAATTTCCATAAAAACACTGTAAATTCATACTAAAAAAATAACTTAAGAATATGTTGTCATTTTAGTCTGAGGTATATGGAAATAATTGTGCAAGACTCTGAAGAAACACTTTCTTATAAATGTGTGAAATATTTCATAACATATATGGAAGAAGAAAGTACAGCATTCTGTGTTTTGGATGCTTTTTACCAAATGTAATATAAATACGAACTACAAACCGTAATAAAAAGTCCTTCCTCTCCAATCAGATCACCTTTGTGTTGCATTGTATTTGTAATACTTCTAAAAATCCAATTTTTACCTAAATTAAAAAACAGTTATTCCATAAAAGATAAT